CAAAGCATACATGTAACAGAGTTAGCACCAGGGAACCAGGCAGGGAATACCTCGGTAAAGATGGCAGAACCTGGTCATGTGACCTGACTCTCAGTTAAGATGGTGGTAAGGTCACCTGACCTCAGTCAAAATGGCAGTGGTCACATGTTTTATGGAAAAGCCATGATTTTTTTTAGCTGCCAGGGTTTTAGACATAATAATAAGAGAGACCTAGAGGCGTGATCTGCCCTGTTGCTGAGCTGCTATGCCATAAGCTGTGGTGGGGAACAAAGGCTGGAAATAAAAACAGCTGCCTCGTGGATCTGACCAATCTTGGCAGCGGTTTACAGGCGGGTGACTGATAGTTTGAGGGTTTATACCATAGCTGCAAATGTGAAAACCTGTGAAAAACACCATAAGGTCTGTAGAAATGCATCCTCTCTCCATAGGCAGGTTGTGAAATGGCGTTGAGCACTGCAGGTCTTGTAGAAGAGAAAAAAGAAAACAGCAAGGGAAAATCTTGCCATGGAAGCTGTAGTATGACAGTGTGTCACGCCGTAAACCATTTTGTCCATTTATCTTTGCTGGCAAGTGTTCATTGCAGAAAGTCCTTGGTCTAATCTGAGGCCTCTGGTTTCTGCTATGCTATTGATGCTGGGTCATAATTTTGTCCATTTATCTTTGCTGGCAAGTGTTCATTGCAGAAAGTCCTTGGTCTAATCTGAGGCCTCTGGTTTCTGCTATGCTATTGATGCTGGGTCATAATTGGGACACCTCTTGTTTTTCCTGTTGTTGCCCTGTGTCATGAAGATTCTACAGCTTTGGGCCTGCGGATCAGTTCCTTTACATGCTCCAGTAGATCATAGATGGGGTGGATGTTGAGGCAGGTCAACTCTTGTCCCTGAGTTTGGGCCTGGGTTGTTGCAGGATTGATCAGCCTCCCATCTCTTGCCTGTCTTTACCACCAGGGTGAGCTCTCCAGCATCGCGCTGGCTAGTCACCTCCTGCGGCAATGAGCAAGGGACAGGGAGAGTTCTCTACCTTTCAAGTCCTCAGGGTCTGCTCATCCACGCCTACAACTTCAGGGCCAGCTCTACTCTGTTGCCCAGGCAAGGTGTAGGGGCCAGCTCTACTCTGTTGCCCAGGCAAGCTGAGGGGCAGGGACAGCTCTCCCATTCTTATGATCCCAGGGCCAACTTCTACACTTGCATCAGGCACTGAAGGGTGGAAGGAGGGCCTTGCATGGGTTTTCCTGCCAGATGATCTCCAGTTTTCCCCTCCATTTCTTCTGTGTTCATCTAGAGGAGGTTGCTCCTTTCATGTCTACCAGTGCAGAAATGGACCAACCTGAGGTCTGGGAAATGCAGTCAGGGACACAGACTCTTGACAGCATGACCTCCTTGGCTGGCTCTGGATCCCCAGCACAGCCCATTGCCATGTGCTTAGTGACCTACTCACCAGTGAAGATGCAGCAGTCTTTGCCCCGGGACAGCAGCATCCATGTTCTGTAGAAGATGTACTAGCTTCTGGAGTCATCCTCTGTGGGTTTGATCCTGATTGTGCTATGTTCACCTATTGGAGTCCTATCCTGGCCGTTCCTTAAAGCTTTGAAAGTTAGCAAAGGAGTCTGCAGGGAGCTGCAGGGAGTCAGGCTTCCCCCCTGCCTGCTAGGATAGGCTATCATATCAAAGTTAACTACCTATGTTTATCATTTCAAAGTTAATGTATGTGAACCTTGAATTTGTGGGCTTGACAGAGGCTAGAAAAGACAGGAGAGCAATTTGCTTTATGTTAAATTAGAGGATGAGCAAGACAGTGCTCAGAGTGTGGGCTTGCATCAGGTCACGCATGTCACTGGTCTCCCTTGATGTGCTGTCTGAAACCCCTAGACAGAAGCCAGGAGGGACTTGAGTGTATAGTCGGGTCAACTTTTCTTTTGTTGCTGTTTTCGTTCTGGGAAAATTCCAGGAGAGGCAGATTGAAGATACTCAGTAGGAAAAAAAAATGTTAATAAGACCAAAAAAGGAAAAACTGAATTCCCAGGGAAGACCGTTAATTCTCAGGAGGCATGACATGGTGAGGAACTGGAACATTCCAAATGCTGTGGTAACAGCCATGGATGGCTCCATATCTTCTTCAACCCGAGGCCTAGAGGCCACATCCAAAGTTTTTCAGGACTGTGTTGTCAGCTGCACACTCCTGTGCTATCCCACATTCCAGCTGTCCCGTGTTCTCAATTCCTCTGCCTTCCATCTGGCTCCCTCGCACCTCACTCCTTACCTGCCTCTCTGTAGCCCAGGACAGCCCCAAGGGCTGATGGGGGCACAATACAATCAATGATTTACACTATCTCATTAAAAAAGCCAACACAAAGACAGAAAGGCAGAGGCTCAGAGCTCCCAGAAGGATTTGGGGTGATTCAAATGCTTGCCCCAAAAGCCTTTCCTGATTGTCTGTTGCCTGGGAGAAGTCTATAAAGAAAAAAGTTCTAATTATGTAACATCCTGACCTTATCCATCTGGGGGCCCAATCTCCTCCAGACCTATTTAAATCAAGTCCCTTGCTCAGGATCAAATGCTTTGCAAAGGGCTGGGCTTGAGCATCACACAGTGCCTAGCTATCACCTTGCACCCTTCTGCTTCACTCTGCTCTTCCTTGCTGAAAAATCCCTGAGCGCCATTGCTCTGTGGCCTCACCTGAAAGCCACAGGGAGAGTCTTCAGTCTTCTGTCTGAACACTCTCTGCAAACTCTAGCATTTCCATGGCGGCACTTGCTATATTGTACTTGAATGTTTTCTATTTGTCGCAGCCACTAGACGGGGAAGCCCCACGGAGAAGGGCGGACTCCTGTGCACTGGCCAACCACCATTCTCCATGCAGCAGTGGAGATGTAAAGAGGACAAAAGGCCTGTAAGGAAAGCCGTACCACGACATCCACTGTGCCAACGCATGCTTCATGCTGGACAAGCCTGCACTTTACCGTTTACTATCAAAATAGATATTAATTTTTTATTTTGATTTTCCATGTCTTCCTGTACTCCTCCACTCCCTCCCCAACACACATACACAGACTATAGCAAGCCAATTCATGATATCTTCAATTTTTTATGTATATCGCTTGGAATAAAGAACCTTCTTTCTTCTATAGCTTATTCATATTTATAAGGAATAATAAGAATCACACAAAATGGGAGTTTAATGGACCATGTTTGAATTGTTAATATTATTCTAACTTTGTCTCTCTCTCTATGCACATTCTATAGCTTAAATCAACTATTTTATGCAGTCCTATGCATGTTGAGTCGCACCAGATTCTGTCACTTTTCACTTTTTCAATACAAGTATTTCCCTTTTGAGAATGTTTTCAGAAGTCAGTATTTTGCAAAAGAAGGCGAATAGCTTGTGCATATGTGTGTGTACGGGTTACACGTATGTGAATACCCGCCATCTATAGCCTTCATGGTCAGTTAGCTATAAAGAGAGGAACAAGGCTATACTTAAGGACAATCACCTATAAGGTATGTGTGTGTATGTGTGTATGTGCATGCACACACGTGCGCACGTGCTCCATGATCCCTAACACATCTTCCCCATCTTTCTGAGGCTAGCTGATGGTTCTCAGATAATGAGACTGAATGGTGAACTTGGCGAGAGAACAGTCAAGCAGCTACCAAGGGAGCCTTCCTCCAGGCGCTCTGACCTGCGTTCGTTCTGCACCTCATGTCCTTGTCCGCTCTCTCAGCATCTCTCCCATCAGTGAGTTTGCTCACTGGTAAACAATCTGGCAATTTAATAAACTGACACATTGTGCAAGTGATTGAACTGGATGTGTTGTAAGAAATAGTCTCACGCTGGGACTTAAACGGCATGCTCTGCTCAGCAGATGAGTTTATTCAGACATGGAGACTGTGTTAAAGGTCCATGAGCCAGAAAAGCTGGATGAAGCTTTTTGACATGACTAGGTATTGTCAAGTAGCCACCTCCTTTCTTGGGACCATTGACATGTTATACTCAGGAGTATGAGAACCACAGGGACTCACAGGTCTGAGCTTCCAAAGCGGTTTTGTTAGAACGGCCTCAGGAAACATTTTCCACGGCATACTTCTGGTCTGTCCATCCTTTCCCGTCCGTCCCTGCTGACTCTTGCTCTCCAGTTGAACAGGTGACAGTTCGGTGCAGCCCTGTATTCATTCAGCCACCTCGTCTCGTTTTTATTTCAAAGGCTGTCACATCAGTCTTATTTGGCCTTGCTGCCTTTTCTCTTGTGTGAGAAAGATGATCTCTCTCTTTCTTTTCCATAGGAGAACTAGGCTCAGTAGCTACATATTAGATTCAGAAAATGCAGTAGCCAGGATGAGAAGGGATAGTTTGAAAACACCCCCATGACTCGAGTGGAAAACAAGGGTAGATAACACCCCTCGGTAAAGGGGCATGTCTAACTAGCCAAAGGGTTCACGTTCACTTGGAACAGTCATGTGGCAAGCTTCTCCTGGGGACAGGGTTTTGATCCTTTTCCCATTGAGTGAGACTTACTTTTCAAATTCATCCAGATGTCACTGTCCTATCACAGGGCCCAGATTTCACAGGGATGGGATCTCCTAGAAGGAGCTTGGGCCTTGGCTCTTGTTTAGAGAACAGTTTATTTACCATGAGTGGAATCAAGTTCTCCCTACCTTTCCATCCCCCTACCTTCGAAGCTGGTTTTTTTTTGAGGAGATAAGAAGGTGACTCACTGGTGTTGCAGACCTCTGCTTCCAATGAGAGATGGGTGAGGGTAAAGGAGCTGCAGCCGTTCCTATTACACCAGAGCTGTCTACTGGACAAGCCAGGAAGTCTTGGGACTGTAAAGGCAGCTTTATTGCAAGGCGGTGGATAGCAGGGCACTGCTGTTTTCATTGATGATTAACTCGCAAGTTGGAACTGACATGAGAAGAGGAAAACAGACGCCCAGGACCTGTGTGAAACTTCTGCCCAAGTTTCTATTTAGAAGTCACATGGGAAATGTTTGTTTTTCTCCATAGATTCGCACCAGTGTCCTTCCGGAGCACAAGGATCCCCCTCCAGAAGTTGGGGTAGGTGCTTTTTATAATCCAAAGATAGACATGCCATTTGTAAGTGAATGGTTTGGATTTTCTCGGACTTCCTGCCTGCCTGACAAAAGAGCGGTCAAGTCACCAGGCCCTGACTGTTTGAGGAGTCACCTTGTTTTGTTGCTCAGTTGAATAGAATCTGTCTCTTGAATAAAAGTAATTCTTCCTCAAGCAGGTTTTTTATTTAGTTTAGATGGTGAGAGAGGAGCCTAGACACTCCTGCAGGCAGCTGAATTGCAACTGTAAACCAGTGATCCTGGACTCCTGGGGGCTAGGGAAATTAAGGGTGTGAGCCATATCCTCTTAGCAAAAGCGCAGGAGCTATTCAGACAGGAAGCTTCTTCCGGCTTCCTAGGATGTGAATCAGGCTGCAGGCTGCTGTGGCTTTTCAGCTCAGCATGAGCCCCACTGGGGTTAACACTCCTGAAGAGTTGCAGCTCTCACCCGCTGAAGGTGAAAGAGCTAAGGGGTACTAGGGGCCCTAGTGTTTTCTGCTTAAACCTGGCCAGAGCTGGTGGTGGCAGAATCTGAATAAACAGCCCTGCAAGGCGAATCCCCAAGGCCACTACCTGAGAGAGGAGTAAAATAAATGACAGAAAGCTTATTTAGAAATCATTCAGGAACCGTCAGCCTTCTTCCATTGAGTGTGAGGAGCGTGGGCAAGGTGCCGTTCATTTCCTCTCATTGAAAGCAGCTGCTTGCCAGTGTGCCAAGGGAATGTTTCAAGCACACACTGAAGGGCAACTTGCCTGAGCAGAATGCCAGCTCACAGAGCATCTGCTAGTACAGAGGAGAAGGAACGATGGGGTGCTGTGTTCTTCCCCCTTGTTCCTTTCAGGGGCTTCTGGCTTCTCAGAGAAGAGAGGACATGCTGCCATAGACTGGTGCAATCTTCACTTTGGTTTTTCTGCCTATATCTTGATCCTATCGCAGGACTTCCTGCCCCTGCTGGTGTTGGTGGGTTCTCAGACCACACAAGCTATTTGTACTTTCGTTCAAAAAGGGCCTAGCAAGTTCTCCCCAGCCAAGGAAGATCCACAGCAGAGGCCTTTGCTGAATCTCTGGCTGCTCTGCCCTTACACTTTCTGGCCTCCTGTCCACAGTCACCATTCAGCCTCCTGCAAATGAAGTTCCAGGGTAGGGGGGCATGCTCTTACCACACCCAGACTGCCTTCGTAAAATCCCAGAACTCCAAAAAGTTTGGCCATTGATATAATTAATGCAGTGTTTTATTAAAGAGTTCCATTTATTTGTTGAGGTTCAAGGAGTGAGCTAAACTTTCTGCTCTAACTCTGCCTCCCAGGCTGCTCTTGTTTTCCGATGCCCACTTGTTTTAGTTCTAACGTCTTGACTTAGTGTGCAAACTTCTTCGTTATGTACTTGTTGTCGATGCATTTTATTTATTTTTAATATTGAGCCTCTGATTTTGTTTCTGCCCATCTTCCCACCCTTTTCCACGACAGTCACATCTCTGTAACGCCAGTCAGTGCAGAGTGTTTCACATCTGTCCCCATCTTACTCTCAAGCTGTGACATGGACGAGTAGGGGACAGAGGCTGCACTGGGCACTGGATTAGCCCAGGTGAGGGTCTGACCCTCTTTGCTGGTTTGGACACCTGCCAGAGTCCTCAGCACGGCTAATACAGAAATTCTAGCTGCCCAGTGAAGATGACTCAGGGGACCCTGTGTGTTTTCCCTACAATGAAGGATGTGTCTCAGGGTCAGCTCTGTTACTGTCCCATCCCACTCCCACCCTGCGCTCTTACTGCTAAGATTCTTTCTAGGCACATGGGAACCAATGCATCAGGTTCTGTGTTTCATGCTTGACCCATGTGACACTCCTATGCATTTACCATGTCACATCCAAGCCCCACAGGCATCTTCACTGGTGTGTTCTCTCTTTGGTTCAGCCACCTCTCTACTGCCCCTTTATACAGAACCCAGTGACATTCAGCTTTAGATTGCCCATGATCCCCAGAGGAGAGCATCCTGCACCCTTAAAGAAGGAAGACAGTTTTGATTCCTCCAATCTTTACAAGTGACCTGTTTGTTTAGGACAAAACTCTACTGGCCTTGGGCATAGACATACTTGGAGAACGTTCTTGGAAAACAATTAGGAGATAGACCCAGCACTTCAGCAGGACACCTGAAACTCCAGTTGTCTTTACATTTTTGTTAATGGGATGTCTTTGGGGGTGGATGAATGGTAGTTCTGTTTAACCTTCTTCCCTTTGAGCAATTTGCTGGGGGCCCTGGTTTCTAATGGAGGTTCCCTGACCCTGAAATAGGGTACATTTGGTATTGTGTCTCCTTCGTTGGCAAAAACTCAGCTACAATTCCTAATCCCAAATAAAAGACTTAGTTGAGATTCTGTGACGTGGCTGTGGTACCATCGGCCATTCAGTGTGCATGAAATGACAAGGGGACCTAGAAGCAGTCAGTTCACATCTTTGTTTTACTTTGTTTTGTTTTAATCTTGAGAAATGTTCCCCGTATCATAAGCACATAAGAGGAATTTAAACAACAGACTGTCCATGTTCTTCTTCTGATTTTATATTCCTCATCTTCCTATCTGGAGAATAAGATGTTGAATTCAGGTTACCCCGCTCGCTCCTTCAGGTTTAGAGAGCATGAACTGCCTGGAGTCATATTTGGTATTCTGCCCTGTATGTATCGAGAAGAACTGAGTTCTTAAAAGAGAACCTAGAAATAGTTACTGATTAAACAACAGCAGAACAAAACTCTGCTAGTAATGAAAATTTGGGTATTAGATTTCGGTATATTTGCAAACTACTAAGCACTGTACTTGTGGCAGAAAAAAAAAACTTCTTTTTATTTTTTTTCCAGAAAAGACTTCTCGACTTTGCCACTCCAATATTCTAGGTTAAGGCCTAGATTCCTTATTAAGACAATCAAAGAACATTCCTTGTTGGTCTACTAACTACTTTCTGTTGTTTTTAGAGCCATAAGAGAACAAATTATAGACGAAGCAGAGAAGAGTCCAGAAATGATCATACTAACATGGGAAAAGCTAGCATGTTTGATGATGTCAGCACTTAAATAACTTGCTAAGCATGATCACTAAACCAGTCTCACACAGAGAATTACATTGGACTAAGTCATGTCATTCTGAATAGTGAAGATTTATCACACGTTGCTCACCTGTGAAGGGTCACTGTTTAATCCACATCCCATCCGTTTTCAGGATATTTATTGCACGCTACTAAAGGGTCTGAGAGGTTAAACTATTGGCCAATAGTGCTAATAGAGACTCTGTTCTTATAATGTACTAAGAACACTTATCCCGACATAAGCTGAATTCCCTGGGATAGCCACAATTGTGTTCTATGTATTTTTGAGCATCCTTAAACAACATTTACTGGATGTATTCAAGACTTTTCCTGGTAGTTTAGTCAAATAGATGCCAATTTGTGCCCTTAGGCCTTTTAGACTGTATTCAAAACAATAATTATTTAGTAGATGACCTATCACAAAATACTCTTTAGTCTTGGGGTTATTCATAAACTCTTAGTAACCTCCATCTTTTTCTTTATGATTTTTTTTCGATATGAGCAGTTATTATGGAGTGAGACACCATGCAAACATATTGTTATGGTCGACAGTAAAAATAAAAAATGCCCAGGCTATAAAATTGTCTTTTATATGTACATATATATATATATATATATATATATATATATGGCTTTATAAGAAAGGTCAAAGCATCTTTTACAAACTCACTTAATCTGCAATGTAGCAGTGTCCAGTCAGTCAAACTTAAATGAGTAACAAGCAAGTTTTTTCACATATGGCAGTTAAAAAAAAATACCTAGTAGCTATGTTTTAAAATAATTTAAAGAAACAGACTAAATTAATTGTATTTTATTTAACTCACTATATGAAAAATAATATTTTAAAAAATATGCTCAATATAAAACAAAGTTATACTCTGTGTTTCTATTTTCCATGCTGAGTTTTCTAAACCCAGTGGACACTTGAAGTTTTATTGACCCCTTCCCTTGGAGTAGTCACCTGTTAAGCTATTGAACTAGTAGCAAAACAATTCGGATAACATAGTTCTAAGCTGCTGTTGGAAATTGGGAGGGAAACCACGTAACTAGTGGATAAAGGACTGTCCTCTAAGTGAGAGCCTGTGAGACGAGCCTTCATGATGGAGCTTTGCAGATTGTGGCATTGTGGCTGGTTCTGTGCCTCAGCCAGCTTTCTCAATAGTAATCAGGAGAGCCACTGTGGACATACAGCACATACAGGTTTCAGATCTGGTGAGCTGTCTGTCTACATCATGCTCCCAATTCCTACAGAGCACAGCAGGATAAACTTTTGGCCCCACTTTCCTGTTTGAGGAGGCTGCTTATTTGTTTTCTGGCTGCCCAGAAACCGAAATAATCGCACAGAAATGGTTTTAATTAAATAGTTGCTTGGCCTATTAGTTTTAGCTTCTTATTGGCTAACTCTTACATATTAATTTAACCCATTTCTATTATTCTGTGTATCCCCATGTGGCTGTGGCTTACTGGCTAAAGTTTTGGATTCTGTCTTAAGCAGGGCTACATGGCTTCTCTCTGACTCTGCCTTATTTCTCCCAGCATTTTCCTGCCTACCTCTATTCCCAGTGCAGACCCAAGACAGTTTCTTTATTAACCAGTGGTATTCACAGCATACAGAGGGGAATCCCACATCACCTCCCCTTTTCTGTTTAAATAAAAAGGAAGGTTTCAACTTTAACATAGTAAAATTACATAAACAGTTATCAAGCAAGAATTACAGTTACAATATTTATATCTATCTTATCTTTTATCATAACTAAGGAAAACTATATCATTACTATCTATTCTTCAACTCCACCAAAGTCTCCAGAAGGATACAACATTACCTAAATAAACAGGAAATGCATTATAAGCAACTTCCAAAACTCCAAAATTGACAGAGACATCTTGCTGCCTGGACAGTCACCCAAAGTTC